TAGGTTAGTTTTAGGCAATGGTGGGCACCAGCCCGCTAAAGCGCAAATCCGCTAATTGAGGACCTAAATATTTCATTTGCGCTTTAGCAGTCTTACTAATTTTTATAATAAGCGGATTTGCGCTTTCTAAAATTAAAATGCAGTACCACTAATAACTATTTATCTATCAGTCATTTCATCTTAAACAGCGGAAGGTATGGCTGTCAATGAATCACAACGCACATATCTACCCAACAGCACCCCTCCCAGATAAACACACTTATTGGGAAGGTATGCATCCTTGCTGACTGTTGTTTTCAMTCAYGGTTCTCAWTTCCCACAATGCTTTGTGTCTGCTTACGTAGCAGGAAGGCAGTGTTAATATATTATAAAGTGCTAATATTTTGATATTTTTCTAATTTTGATTTAAGTTTGCTTGTTTAGCGTCGTCACAGTTGCTAGGTGACATGATGTACACCGGGGTAAGGAGGGGAGGCTAGACCGTCCAAATTCACAGCCTCTTTTTTTCCGGTCTTCCCGGTCTACCAAGGACRCGGCCCGCCTCGACCGGGTAGTCTGGGTCCTCCGGAGGACCCGGCCTGTCGTTTTGGACACAGCCTATGACTCATTGATCAAAACATGTTTTCTACATGAGCACACACTTTCTGGAACCGTTTTTTCAAACACTAAACTCTCTGGTGAGCATATTTTTATAACTAACTTTAAACTGAGATAATTTAGCTGTTTCTTTTCTCACATCACAAAGACATGGCCCCAGAAAAGCAAAAACGTAACCATTTTATTTAAAGCCACACTGAACTCCACACAACTAAACCACAAAGGTAGGTCAAGCTCCACTGATCCACTTCCTGCTGTAGCCATGGAAACCATGGTCATTTTCTGCACCTATGGAAACCACTGAAATCATATAARCTTTGAAACACAGGTGTTTCAAGTAAAAGAAAAAGGAGACCTGGCATTTTTCTACATCTACAAGAAAATGAGGAGTATTATATGTGCATGTGTTGTTTTTATTTTCTTTTAAAGATTTTTTTCTTGGTATAAGCACCTACTTTGTCAGGACCAGTAGTACATATGGGGACCAAAGCCTGGCCCTAATAAGGTGGAACTGCATTTAGGTCAGGGGTTAGGTTTAGGAKTAACAGGTGAATTGGAGTTTAGGGTTAGGTATGTACAGGGTGAGGTTAGGTTGAGGGTAAGTGTCAGAGTAATGCTTCAGAAATGAATTGAAGTCAATACGCAGTTCTATTACGGATACAAATATAAACTTGCATGTGTGTGTGCACTTGTATTTGTTGGRACACATAACCTACCTTGTCAAGACCAGTAGACCTAATGGAGACCAAAGACTGGCCCTAATATGGTGGAACTTCATTTCTGGTGGTTGGGGTTTAGCTTTAGGATTAAGGTGGGAACGGCTTCAGGTATGTACTGGAGGGATGTTAGGTTTAGGGTCAGGGTTAGGCCACAAAAATGACTGGACAGAAATGGAAGTCAATAAATGGTCCTAATAAGGATAGAAGAACAAACACGTGTGTGTGTGTTTTCTCTCACCACTGCGTTGTGCTCCACCCGTGCCTTGACCTGATCCACCTTGCCTGAGATAACTCTGGGGAAGATGGAGGAGTCTGCACCCTTACAGAACAGATACACTTCACCTGTTCACACACACAGAGCAGAAAACACCAGCATGTGAGCAACAAAAGCACGCACGCACGCACGCACGCACGCACACACACACACACACACACACACACACACACACACACACACACACACACATTAAAGATGTGGGAAATACAAAGTTTTGTGTGCACTACCTGTGCTGCACCTGACGATGACACTCATTCTTCGTCTCACCGAATCAAAAGACAAAACTTCTAGCACCTCGAATCTGATTTAAAAAATACCAAGTCATATTGCTTTAAATGAACATAACTGTTACAAAATAAGGGGCTGTAGCTGTATGGCAACTTGCTGAAACTGTAAACAACAAAAAGTTGCGTTTTAAGGGACACACTCACCTTTCTACCTTATCGTCCCTATTTAAGATTTCCATATGACTGTCTTTCTGCCTCAGATAGGTGAAGCCAAGTCTGAAGCACAGAACGTTTAAAAGGTACAGTAAATTATTATGTTTGTGAGGGAAAAGGACAAAATGTGAGAAGACGTGTGTGTTTCACCTATTCATCCCCTCCACCAGGGCCACCTCGTCAGGAGAGGAGGAGATGTAGAAGGAGGAGGACTTGCCCTGGTGGATGCCGTGTTTAATTCCGTCCACTGTCTCCTCTTCCTTCACCTGCACCGTGTGGCACAGACACACGGCGCGGAAGAACAGCTCCTCACGATCCTGCGGTGGACGAGGAACAGCATTACACACACACACACACACACACACACACACACACACACACACACACACAC